TAAATAAAGTGTTCAAGGAGGGGTTCCCTACTGATGCGATGTTTGAGCATAGAACTAAATGATGAGGAGCCAGTCACTGGAACATTTGGAGAAAGTGCATCATGGGCATAGGGAACAGCACCAGACTTGAAGGGGAGACGCCTGGAGTGTTATTTGAAAGACTGTAAGAAGGCCAGAGTAGTGGGAGTGCAGTTTCTGAGAAAGATAGAACATCAAATCAGAGAGAGACGCTGGGGAGGAAACAAGCATGGGTCAGATCATATAAGACCAGATTCTAAGTGCAATGGAAAGCTATCAGAAGGACTTAAGCAGAAGACTGTAGTGATCTGATTTACACTTTAAAAAGATACCAATAGAAAACAGTAGCCCAAAAATACACCCATGCATATACAGTTAACTAATATTTTACAAAGGAGCCAAGAATAGTTGATGGGGAAAGATACTCTGTTCAATAAATGGTGCTGGGAAAATTAGATATTCACACATAAAAGAATGAAATTGGACACATATCTTAATACCACTGACAAACACTAACTCGATATAGAGTCGACTTCAATGTAAGACATGAAACTGTAAAACTCCTAGAAGAAAACAAAGGGGAAAATCCCCAAACATTGGTTTTGATAATGATTTTTTTGGATATGGCATCAAAAGCAAAGTCAATCAATAAGCAATGGGACTATGTCAAAGTATAAAAGCTTCTACACAGCAAAAGAAACAGCAGAATGAAAAGGCAACCTAGGGAATGGGAGAAAATATTTGCAAACCACATCTGAAAAGAGATTAACATCCAAAATATATAAGGAACCCATACAATTCAATAGCAAATAAACCCCCCAAGTAATCTGATTTAAAAATTGGCAGAGGACCTGAATAGATTTTTTTTTTCAAAGAAGACTTATAAATGCTCAACAGGTACATGAAAAGATGCTCAACATTACTAATCAGCAGGGAAACAAAAATCATAAGCACAATGAGAAATCACCTTACACCTATTACAACGACTAGTATCAAAAAGAGAAGAGATAACAAGTGTTGGCAAGGGAGTTGGGAAGAGGGCACATTATTAATGCGCCTTTGATGGGAATGTAGATGAGTACAGCCACTGTAGAAAACAGCATGGAGTTTACTCAGGAAATTAAAAAACTATTATACAATCCAGCAGTCCCACTTCTGGTTATACAACTGAAAGAAACTAAGTCACTGTATTGAGGAGACATGTGCACCCCCACATTCACTGCAGTGTATTGACCATAGCCAAGACATGGAAACAACCTAAGTGTTCATTGACAGAACGGATAAAGAAAATGTGGGAGATGTATATTCAGCTTTGAGAAAGATGGAAATCCTGCATTTGTGACAACATGGATGGACCTTGAGGACATTAGACATTATACTAAGTAAGATAAGTCAGATAGAAAAAGACAAAACCTGTATCTCACCTATATGTGTACTTTATGAAAGAAGGGGGGATAAAGTCAAACTCACAGAAACACAGTAGTATGGTAATTGCCAAGGATAAGAAATTAGGAAAATGGGGAGTTGTTGGTCAAAGGGTACAAACTTCCAGTTATAAGACCACAAAATTCTGGGGATCTAATGCACAGTACAGTGACTATAATTAACAGTGTTGTATTATATACTTGAAAGTTGCTAAGAAAGAGTAGTTCTCAAATATTCTCACCACACACACATACACACAATTGTAATTATGTGATCGATATGTTAACCAACCTTATTTGGTAACCACTCTGCAATTTACACATGTATCAGATTATCATGTTGTACACCTTAAATCTGCACAATGTTATATGTCAGTTGTTTTTTGTAAAGCCAGAAAAAACAAGAGCATCTTGGCTGCCATGTGGAGGGTGGACTCTGGATACAGTAGCAGCATTTAGAAGCTAGCGGCTGGGAGGCCCACCAGTATCTTGTACTGATGAGATTATGGTGGACGGAGATGAGAAATTCATGTTAAGGATAGCGTTAGAAAGCAAATGGCTATGTTCCTTCCGATGCCAAGTTTGTCCTTTCGGGTCTAAATTCTGTACTTCCTTCTTAGAAGGGGGAATTTTCCCTTTTTTAAAGCTCATTATAAATGTGTCATTTATAAATAATGGCAAATTTTGAAGTAACCTAAAAGAAGGTTGGTTTCTTTTCAAAGTCTAGTACTCATGCTGCTAAGAGAAGATAAATTTACTTTTTATCTGGAACTTAATGAAATCCTCTGTCCTTGGTGCCTATTAAGGTTTCTAACTAGACAGTGAAGAAATGAAAAGTTCTTTGTGCAACATTTGTCTAGGTGCATGGGCATGAAGGCCCTTTATGCTTAAAAATGCTTAACAAAACATTTTTACCATATATCTATGCAAGAAAATAAAGTAAATTGAAGTCACAGAACTTAGTAAGTGTAGATGTAAAATATAAATTGCTAAGAATACTTCAAAGGATATCCTTGTAGAACCTTCCACCAGTACTCTGCTTTATGTCTTTCCTGCTTTACTTTTAACTTTCTTCTGGACCCTGTTTCATTCAAGCCAGCTACAATGATATGAAAGACCACCACACAGCGCCTCCTTAGAAGTGTGCTCTGGTGGTCCTGCTTTGCATGAACTTGGCTACATGATAATGGAGCGCATTATTTATCTCTCTGAGAATTGGTTTTTTAATCATTAAAATGAAGAGATTGCATGAGATAATACTAAAATTCTTTCCAGTTCCAAGATTTTAAGATTGTCCCTTTTCTGATTTTCACACATGATCAACATAATCCATCACTTACTTCATTACCATTATTGTGCTGGTGATTCTCGGATCTATATCCCAAGTACAGGTCTCTCTCGTGCGGCCTGCTCCCATATAGCCAATGGTGTCCTGGACATCACTAGCTGGATATTGCATGGGCACCTCAAACACGCTGTACCCAACATGACTCATTAATTTTCCCCAATAACTTCTTTTCCAGTATATGTTCCTCACATTTGTCTAGACATCTATCTTTCTTTGAGTCTTCTACCCCACCTTTCTTGGAAGTAGCCATCTACTTACTCATCTACTTACCTGAGTCTACAAGACTCAGCTCAAGAGTCACGTTCTTGTGTGAAATTTTTCAAGCCCACTTCCTCTCAGGTAAATTTTCTACTGCCTTCCTTAATGTCTCTATTAAACTAGTATTACAGCACACACATAAGTTTATTGCAGGAGCTCTTTACCTGGTTATAAATATGTTTACATTTTGAACTCATTGAGGTCAGGTATAGTTTCTCAGTTCCTCATGATTCTACCCTCAGCTTAGAATGTATCACATAGTTGGTGATGAGCAAATACTGAATTGAATGAGTGAAAATGAAAATTCTATGATGTGAGGATTGCTCAGGTTATTATTGTACCTGGCATAGGTCCTCCCACCAATAGTTCCTTCACAACATGGAGAAGCCATTGGCTCTCTTGCCCAGTTTCACCTGTTCACCTGCTTATGAAGACTCATATCAGTACCGACCTTCATTTGTTTGCACCCATCCTTTTGCTGTGGGAATTGACCTTTCAGAGTGCAGAGACCAATTTTCTCTTTCTTTTTTATCTTTCCTGAGGTAGAGACAAGAATAATGATGCCTTGCCAGTTTTTAATAGATATTCATTCATTGAACCCCACATTTGACTTAGTTCTTTCTTGGTAAACAACTAAATTTTTTTAACACAGACATTTATATATAATCCAGTCTCATCATGAGCAATTAACAAATGCACTTGCAGCTCCTCAAAATGTTAATGAAATTTAGACCTGCTACTTAGCTTCATTCAGTGAGTATACTTGTGTAAATAAGCTGCCAGATTTGAGTATCTGAATTTTTCTCAGCATCATCTTAAAATGCACCCTACTCTCTGGCCTGGCTAGAAGACCTTAACCAAGTTGACTGATGTTAGCAGGGTCAAGAAACCATCCGTGATGTGTAAAAATGGTAGAATCAGCTCTTCTTCCCATTTTGTTTTTTAAAGTTACTGGTGCTAGAGTAATTGACAAGAAAGTCACACAAATTGGAGACACGTTTTCCTTTTAAGAGAAGTTCCTTTCTCGGGTGCCTGGGTGGCTCAGTTGGTTAAGCGACTGCCTTCGGCTCAGGTCATGATCCTGGAGTCCCGGGATCGAGTCCCGCGTCAGGCTCCCTGCTCGGCGGGAGCCTGCTTCTCCCTCTGCCTCTCTCTCTCCCAAGAAAAATAAATAAAAATCTCTAAAAAAAAAAAAAAGAGAAGTTCCTTTCTCTGAGATCCATTGCTATCACAAATCTTTCAAGGCTTCTCTGAGATAATTTTCTCAGGTTTGCCTTTTATCTTGTTCTTTGGGGAATACTTTGTCACTCCGCAGCCATCTCCTTACCCCTGCCTTTCTTCCTGGCGTTTCCTGAGAGAGTCAGGAATAGCCCTTTGCCAGTGAATTTATCTTTGAAAAGATCACTGATATTATAGACCAGCTCAAGAGGCAGGACTGAACATGATACAGAACCTAGTTCAAACCAAATAAACATCAATTCGGATAATGGCTATTATTACTCTTTATTAAGAACCTTATTAACTACTAGTTATATTTATATAATTAGTACATTCAGTTCTCAAAACTACCCTCTAATTTAAGCATCCCATACCATCCCATACAGATGAGGAAGAGAAGGATTGCAGAGGCTAGGTAGATTGCCTGAGGTCATGCAGCCGGCGGATGGACAACTTAAAATTTGAACTCTTGTCTGCACATTTTCCATTTCGCCAGTACTTAAGAGTAAATGTGAATATATCCCTTATGTCCATAAGTGTCCATGTCTTGAATGAGAAGGGTTCTTGAGGAGAGGTGCTGAAGACAAATGGTGAACTGTCCGGCAAGAATGTAGCCCTTACATCTGTTGTCATTTAGTTGAAACAAGATTCTGAGGGCTGAGATATTGAAACTGTGCACGTAATGAATTGCACAGAGGTTTGATTGACCCACATGGATGTTTCTTGCCTTCTAGGATGATTTCCAACCCGCAGCAGACTCAGAGACCAACTGGGAGTCAGTCACAAGCTCTATCTCAGTAAGTAATTTGTTTTTCTGTTGCCAGTGAAAAAAGCTGATGGAGAAGGTAAGGTCAACCCCAGAACAGTGTGAGTTGCATGAAGGACCTAGGGCTTCACCAAAAGCCACGTTGCAATCATGATGTGTCCTTCCATTTCATTTATGGTTTCAGCGGGCTGTGTCGCATGCCCTTTTCCCCCTCTCTTCAAAAAGCCTCTCAGGAAATGCCAGTACCCATTGTAGGAACACGGGCTAGACAATGACTTCAGTATTTATCAGTTTCAAAGTAGAATGTTCCAACTAGACGACTGTCCAGACATTTCAAACGTATCAAACTGGTCCATGGCCCAAGCTCAAGCGGGGTATTTTGAAATAGTGTTTTGAATATTCCAGGGAAAGCTGTTAACCTTTGTGTTTTCAAGGATCTTTTCAGATGTGAAAAATCCCAGTGTTTACAATAAGATAACTTAAGTGCAAACCAGGCATGTGTTCTATTTGACTTAGAAATAAAACATAACTCACCCTGAAACTGTAAAATGGCTCATGCCCCCCATTTTTTTCCTCCAAATTTAGTCATTCCTCGGTATTCTACTTCTCTTTGTTCAGAAAGAACAGGCCTTGTTTTCACCAGTCCTATGAGTAGCACGTACGTAGCAATAAAATACAAGATAATAAATGTAGGTGTTTATTAGAAGGTCAAGAGCATGGAGAAAGCTTGCCCATGGGTCTGAGTCAGCCCATGTGGCTGAGTCAGAGTTGATTTTTTTTTTTTTTTCAAGTGATACTCCATCCTTTGCTCTCTGGGGGATTTTTAAAGAAATACCTTCGGATGGCAGGGTTTCCTTAGCTATGGGCTCTGTGACTATTTAATTCACCTGGTGTGTCCGCTGGACTAGAACAACATGGCCTACTCAAGAGGTCAGTGGGGTTTCTAATGGTGATATTAAGAGTGTTTAATTTGTTCTTGACAGCCCCGAATGCACGCTCTGAACCTCTCTAAGTACAGGCAGTCACTGTGAGGCAGGTGAAGTCTTCGCTCTGGGAGGCCAGGCGGAGGCTTGGCGGGTTAGCAGCCTGAGGCCGACAATCCACGGTGTAACAGCTTCTGCCGCCAGGCGCTGGTGTGCTATTCTGTGGAATCCTCTGGCTTCTCAAGCATCTTCTAGTGATGGCTCAGAGGGGCTGAGTCATTCACGCCCCAGGTGCAGAAATTACAAGCTTAAGGGACGCTTAGCGAATGCAGGATAATGCAGGTCCTCTTAAAGAAAAGGATTGACCATCCGTTTGGAGCATCAGCAGAAGCTCAGCACTGGGTCCATATGCACTGGACACTTTTCTGGTTGGAGCTCCAAAGCCAGGTTCTGCTTCGTCCTCTGGAAATAGCAGGGAAACAGTCTCTCCTCAGCGTTCTGGTTTTCAGGAACCCTCTGGAATAGCAGTAAGGACCCTTGGACCCACCATTAACTCTGTATAAACCATATTTTGTTTTTGTGGAAAGTGGTTTCTAGTTTTCTGAGCATTATTTTTCTTTTAAAAATTGTTAATTTAAAGCCATTCAGTTAGCTTTAGAATGGATTTTTCTAAATATATAACAAAAGCTGAATGAGATAGGATCTATAGTGGTGTGGAAAAGGGCACACCCAGTTAGTTCTTTCTCACAAAAATAGTTTTCAAATAATTACCCCAGAACTAAACATGTTCTGGTGAGTTTTTTAGGTCCTCTAATCACCCGTGAGTATTTTCTTAACTATCTCACTTAAGGACAGTTTTACATTTTACCTGTGGTTTGTTTGGATTTGTTCTGCAGACAAATGTCAGAGGGATTAGATCTCTGGCTCCCCCTCAGGCATGGAGAGCCCCTCGCAGTTTGCTCCTGGAGAGATGTGTAGGTAGACACTTAGCTCTAGGTCCTGTGAGGAGCCACCCCAGGAGACTTTCTGCCAAGGGTTCCCCAGAGCCACTGACAGAGGCCTGCACTTGCATGAAAATGGCTTCATGTTGTTTCCAAACACAGGGAAGCATTTTAACTTCAAAGCTTTTACAGAGATGCCGTGCACCTAACTTTGGGCAGCTCTTTTTGAATTTTTGGATCTCAGACCCACATCTTTGGGATGGAGTTGTAAAACATCTGGTGACGATGAGCCAGGTGGACTGTACATTATCCAGATAATACAAAGTTGAATGGGAATTTGAAATTTTGAGACTGAGTCATAATATCTGACTCCAGCACGTGATGCCAGGAAGGATGTGAAAGACAGAAATGATGTGCCTCGGTCAGGGTTCAGTTTATATGAGACACGCACGTGCACGTGTGTACCCCTGGATTCGGGAGCTGGCCAGCTGTCTTCAGTCTAGCTCACATCTCCCAACCTGTTCCCCACTCCCTTTCCCCTACCAGGCATATTTGAAAACTGCCTTTAAGGTACATGAGTGTGGGTTAATGCTTTTGCAAAATGCCTTCGTTTGCTAAAGAGGGACCACCATTCCTCTGAAAGCAGGTGGGCATCCATTCCCTGGCTTCCGGACCTTTGGATCTTGATTGGTTAAAAAGAGAGACCCTAAGCTGAAAGTGAGACCATGAAATGTGGGCTTTGCTGTCTGAAACCCTGTGGCACATAGTAGTTCTTGTTAGGATGCTGCATGAAGTTTCAGGAACGCGAGTACTTGTTAATTCCCACGTTCCCATTCCCGGAGTAATAGGAGATATTTGCCCTTGAGGGATCTTGTTTGTTTGGCAGTTTCTTGAAAGACATTTTGAAACCATTTGCGACTGTGCTATTTCCTTGTTAATAGGTCATGAATTTTTACAGAGATGTTTGAATCATGGCTCATTTGCCTCTAGATTATCCGAGGGTTAGTGAAGTAAGTGCTTGGGAACTTATGTGGGGACATAGGCCACATAATCCCTCCCAGGTTTTCAGTGGTGTTGCATTCCCCATTTAAAGAGTATTTCTGAGAATATTTTAATGACAGCTGGGATCACCAGCAAGCAACAGCACTTTAAAAATACATATATATGCTTCCCATTGGGATCTCCCAGTCTTGGTCGAGAGAGCAAGTTTCATGACTAATTATTCTTGTTGATAACCAGTAAATAAGCTGGTGAAAGTGCCAAATTTTATCACATTCTCTCCAGAGGAGATTCAAACCCTGCTCACACAACACCTGCAATGCAAGGTGACCCATGAAGAGGAAACGTGGAAGCTAAACATGGGAGGAGAGAATGGATTATGAAAGCAGTTCAGAATTTAAATTCTAATCATTATTTGTTGATGGAGATGTGGATGACTTGGGAGCTCGAACCAAGACAGGGGATGATGTAATTTTGATATTGCCATTTAGTCAGTGTCTTCTTTAATGATTATATCTCAGATGAACTGGAAGTTTTATGATCTGCCTGGTTTTGATTTGCAGAAATGTGAATGACTATCATTTACCAATTAATTGCTCTTATTTAAGAATATGGCAGGACTATAGCAGAGGACTTGAGCATGATATTTATGCATAGAATGTCTTACCATCAGAAGCCTGTTTATGTTCCTTCCATACAGTTGTATGACTATTGTATTTCATAGCAATGGACTTTTTCTGAGTACACTGAGCTGTATGTCACTCTTAGGGGGTATCCTATCACTCTCCATCAGTAACGGACCCCACCCTCACTGCGGATGCTCTGGACAAAACAGTCGCAGAATTTGATACCGTGGAAGATCTGCTCAAGCACTTCAATCCAGAATCATGGCAAGAAGATCTTGAGAATCTATATTTGGAAACCCCCCATTATCGAGGCAGGTCCTACCATGATAGGAAGTCAAAAGGTAAGAAACAGAGCCTTGGAGGTTCTTCACAAACAGATAAGACCACTGATAGTTATTCTCAGTAAGGACAAAAATGCAATATATTTAATTCACTAGAATCAGAGGATTACTGCTCGTCTTTTTTATTTTATTTTATTTTATTTTATTATGTTATGTTAATCGCCATACGTTACATCATTAGTTTTTGATGTAGTGTCCCACCATTCATTGTTTTTGTATAACACCCAGGGCTCCACGCAGAACGTGCCCTCCTTAACACCCATCACCAGGCTAACCCATCCCCCCACCCCCTCCCCTCTAGAACCCTCAGTTTGTTTCTCAGAGTCCATCGTCTCTTGTGGTTTATCTCCCCGTCTGATTTCCCCCCCTTCATTTTTCCCTTCCTACTATCTTCTTTTTTTTTTTTTTAACATATAATGTGTGATTTGTTTCAGAGGTACAGATCTGTGATTCAACAGTCTTGCACATTTCACAGCGCTCACCATAGCACATACCCTCCCCAGTGTCCATCACCCAGCCACCCCATCCCTCCCACCCCCCACCACTCCAGCAACCCTCCGTTTGTTTCCTGAGATTAAGAGTC